CAAATGTATCTATGAAAGATAAAGAAGAGAAAGAAATAAAGAATTGATAATTCTCACATCTTGAAGTTCATGTTATGATCACAATGTATACTCTGAATGAGAAGATATCAGTAAGATGTCTACTCAACTCTGAGATAAATACTAACTTCATATTCTATTTCTTTTCTCTGATGAAGAATTGAAAGAAGATAGGCCTGTCAGATCATGTGAAATTTACTGATAAAATGAAATATCACTATTTTAACATAATTCAAGCACAGTGTGTGATCACAGACTCAGAAGAAATCTTCAAGAAGAGCAGTCTGCTTCTTCATACAGTTAATATTATAGATGAGAATATCATTCTAGATCTTCTATAATTGAGAGAAAACAATTCTCTCATTGACTGAGTCACTCAGACATGATAATATTATCTCACTAATGAAGAGATAGTGATAGAGAAATCTGAAGAGTTTCATTGAAAGAATCTTGAGAAAAAGATTGAGTTAATATACTGTGTAGCAGATGACTGAGACTTGAGAATAGATGAAGAAGTCATTACTCTCACTACAAGATTAGCAGCAGTATTCATTATTGAAGACAGATATACACAATGTCTCTTTACAGATTTTAAGAATGTCTTTTTGAAAAGAGAAGCAGTGAAGTTTCCTGATATCAAGATATGATATAAGATTTATCTTGAAGACAGTGCAATAATGCTGTACAGATCTCTTTACAACTTATCTGTAAAGAAATTGAATGTTCTGTGCAAATATCTTGAAGAAGTGCAATCAAAGAACTGAATATATTTATCAAAGAGTTAAGCAGAAGTGTCTATACTCTTTATGTCTAAGAAGAATGATAGGCTACATCTATGCATAGACTACAGAGATCTTAATAAGATAACAGTTAAGAATTACTATTCATTACTATTAATTAATGAGATGATCAATTGATTATCTGAAGCAAAGATATTCTCAAAGATTAATATACAGAATGTCTATCATAGAATCAGAGTTAATGAAGACAACATTTGAAAAACAGCTTTTTATATCAAGTACAGCAATTTTAAATATCTTGTTTTATCTTTTAATCTTTGTAACACTTCAGCCATCTTTCAGACTTATATAAATGAGACACTGCAAGGCCTTGTTGATGTCTTCTGCATAGTATACTTAAACAACATTTTAATCTTCTCAAAAACAGAGAAAGAACATGATACTCATGTTTGAGAAGTGTTAAGTTGCTTGAGACAGCATTAACTCTATACAAACACTGAAAAATGCTCATTCTACATGCAGGAGATTGATTTCTTAGATTATATTATTGAGATAAATAGCATTTCAATGAATAGAAGCTGAGTCTCTGTTATTGAGAACTGGCCAGCACTGTGAATGTACCACAAGATGCAGATGTTTCTAGAATTTGTGAATTTCTACAGATGATTCATCTATATATATTCACAGATTACTGCCTCTCTTACAGATCTGTTAAAGAAAAGTGTGAAAGATAGAAAAACAGAAATATTTATTCTCACTCAAGACACTGTGCAGATGTTTGCAGAATTGAAACAAGCTTTCACAGATATTATAATACTGAATCACTTTAATCTTAACTTACTCAGTCAGTGTGAGACTGATATATTCAGAAATGAAATCTATGAAATCTTTTCACAGTTGATATTGAAGATCTTTCAACATTGAAAGAATTAGAAAATAATCATCTCTGAGAAAATAGACAATGAATTATCTGTAAGAGAAAACTTTTTCATAGAGTCTATAAGATATTACAAATAAAGATCAGTGACCTTCTTCTTTAAGAAGTTATCACTTATGCAGAGAAGATATGATATTCATGATCAGAAGATATTAATAATTATTGAATTCTTTAAGATCTGATAATATTATCTCCAGAGTAGTAAGTACTCAGTGCAAGTTCTCACTGATCATGTAAATCTGTGTTACTTCTTGACAACAAAGAGCTTGACAGAATGTTAAGCCAGGTGACCAGAGCTGCTTTCAGAGTATGATTTCTATATTCAATACTGTTCAGGTCAGCTTAATCTCACTGATGTACTGTCTAGACAGTCTGATTATAATATCATTAATGTGAAGAAGAATTCTATAAAAGAATCTCTGTCATCACTGCAGAAGAAGCTGACTGCAGAGGATTAAAATTCTCTGAAGCTTGAAAACAGCACTGATAAGACAGCTACATGACTCAGTATAGAAGATGAAAGAAAACCCAGATTCTCACAGAGAACTGACACTGAAGATTATGAGCTTCTCATGTCATATCTTACAATCATTGAATTGATAAAGAATGAAACAGTCTACAATCTTTCAACTTAACTACTTTTGAAATTTATTAATAAGTTACAGAAGAGGGATATCTCTACTGCAGCTTGAATTCAGAAGTTGAAGAAGAAAGAATTCAGTTTAAACTTGAAAGAGACAGACTCTGAGCAGGGCAGTGCTGCTAAGAATTCAAGTCACTGATAACTAGAAGAATATGAACTTCTACTACTGAATGATTCAGTCTTCATTTCTTATAGCAGAGCAGTGTGTCAGAAGTTATTGAGAATTTATCATAATAATTTCCATGCAGGGCACTTCAGATTAGAGAAGACTGAGAAGCTTCTAAAACATAAATATATTTAAGACAAGCTTCAGACAGATATTAAAGAGTATATTAAGACTTACAATATCTATCAAAAGATAAAGATTCTGCAGTATAAGTAATACAGTGAGTTGATATCACTGCCTGTTTCAAAGAGCTTATGACAGAATCTATCAATGAATTTCATAGTTAATCTGCTGAAGTCAATGAGAGTCAAAGAATATAATTCAATTTTAGTCATTGTTAATTACTTCATGAAGATGATCAGATATATCTCTACTTATAAAAAGATTAAAGCCTCTGAATTGACTAATCTATTTTTAGATATTATTATTTATAATCACAGTGCTCTGAAATCATTGATAACAGATTGAGAATTTCTCTTTATCAGCAAATACTGATCAGCTTTTTGCTATTATCTTATAATAAGACATCTTCTCAGTACTGCATTTCATTCACAGACAGATAATCAGACTGAATATCAGAATCAGATACTAGAACAGCATCTTCAAGTATTCTGTTCATATTATCAGAATAATTGACTCAAGCACCTTCTAATCACTGAATTCACATATAATAATGCAAAGAATGCAATCTTAAAGATATCTTCTTTCTATACTTATTATGAATATAATTCTTCATTATTCAGTGATGTCACAGATAATGTTTCAAAGAGAGAAATAGACAGTTAGAATATTAAACAGATACAGAGAACAGAGTATTTCTCAGTACTAGAAGTAAAAATGAGATTGAAACTTTTGAATAAAATTCATGAGAAGATGATGAAAAGTATTCATCACACTCAGAAGTAATAGATAAAATACTATAATTGAAAACATCTTTCAATAAAGTTCTTAATAGAGAATCAAGTACTATTTTCAGCAAAGAATATCAAGATAATGAGACTGTATAAGAAGCTCAGTGAGTGATGACTAGAATTTTTCTCAGTAATAAGAGTGATGAGTAAGCAGACATATGAGTTGAAATTACTCACAGAATTGAAATCAATTCATTCTATTTTTCATATTTTCTATTTGAAGCTCTATAAACAACACTCTGAGATAAAGCTGTCTCAGTCAGATGACATCAAGATCAAGAGTGATACTGAATATCTTATGAAGAAAATATTGAATAAGTAAACACATTATGACAAGCTTTAATACCTTGTTAAATAAGAAGATTATTCATTGTCAGAGAATTTGTAAGAATCACTTAAGCATTTGAAAAATACTGAGAAAGAGATTGCAAGCTATGAGACAGTTAGTAGAGATTATCTCATTACATATCAGAGATGTTGAATAAGAAATACTGCTTAAAACTTCTTATTTTTCTCAAAGGATTTTTTAGAGATAATCTCACAGTGATGAGCTGATGTCTTGTTAACTTTATAGCACTCTTCTTCTATTTTCTCTCAAAGAGTTTTTAGAAGTTTAATAAGACTACACAAGTGTAAAATTCCTGAAGTGATTAAAGAAATGAAATATTTGAAACTAACAAAGATTAATATTATCAACTCATGAGTTACTGCTATTCTAAATAAGGCTGCAGCTCACTGAAAAAGTAAAAAGAAAGAAATCTCAGAATCTACTCATCAATAATCACATTCTCATCAAACTCATTCTTCACTGTTGAAGTCTTCAGCACTGATATCTTTATCTGCTGAGAAGTTAGCACTGCAGTACTGCAGAGAAGCATGCTGTAGAAGAGCATAAGAGATGTTTAAAGTATCAACTTATTAATTTATAAAGTATCTCAGTTATCTGCTTCAATTGAAGTGAGATTCTCTTCAATCAGTAATTAATCTTCACAGTGCTTTTAACAGCAGTATCAGCTGATCTCTTCTTAAGATCAGTCATTCTGAGGTGTTTTTTTATCTCAGAGATTCACACTTTCATCTTCTTTTATAGACAAGTAAGAAGAACCTTCTCAGTCTTGACAGAATTCATTAACACTTAAAGCTCTGAGACTCTCACTCTGTACTGCTTGAGCATCTGAGCTCCTTGTCAGAGTCAACACAACATCTTCTTGTAGAGTAGATAATACTTACAGAGAGACAGAAGTTATTGTTATAGATACAACAGAAACAACAGAAGTGAAAGAAGAGATAGATACATAAGATTCTCTTCTTCTTCAGCTGCTTGATACAGTGCAGATAAGTAGCAGTATCAGTCAGAGACTGTATCAGAGCCTTCTCACAGAGAGAAGATGAAGAAACTGCAGGATTCTGCAGACTCAACTTAGCAGCATTCTGAGCAGGGCTCAGGTGTGCTGCAGGAGAGAAACTACAGATTGAGCTTCTCAGAGTCACTGTCTCTGAAATCCAGCTCTTCTCAGGTTTCTCTCTGAATGACCACACAGGGTCATATGTCACTGTGCTGGCTGAGAGGGCGGGCAGTATTGCAATGACAGTGAGAGAGGCAGAAGAAGAACTGAACATGAACAAACTGATCAGCAGAAGGGATGACATCTCACTGCAAGATATGATGACTATCATCACAGCTGCAAGAGAAGCAGAAGGAGAAGAAGAAGAAGGTGTGACAATGAGAGCAGTGCTCTCGCGGTCTGTTGACACTGCTGTCTCTGCCTTCAACCTGGCTTTCGTAACAGTCATGAAGGCTGCAGCTGCATCATAAAGATGTTTATTACTCACTACAAAACATCAGAATAAGTCCTTTATTATCCTTCAAGAATGATACTCTCATACACTCACTGTTGCAATTGAGAAGAAGGAAAGAAAAATGTTTCACAGAGAGAGAGATCTTTTTGAAAAATCCTGTCACTACTGTTAACTTTGTCTCTAAAAACACATCACTTTTACAGAGAATTTTATATATAGAACAGAATATATTGAGAGATCTGTAAGTCACTTATTAACTACATTTTTCACATTTCAAATTGATATATAAGGAACTCACTTATCATGCATTTGATTTGAATGAAGATGAAAAAAGAAAGATCTATATAGTCAGCAGAAAAACTCATCTATTTCTTTGTACTATACACAGCACATGTACTATCAATCAGTTAATAACTGTTACTATACAACAAAGATAATTTCTAATCTGATATTCTTAAGAGCATCAGAACTATGTTCTTAAAGAGAAGAGTATTGTTATACTCTCAGCTGTGTCAAGACTCTGTTGCAGTTTCACACAGCTCATTAATTTCATGTGAATGATTTCATCCTGTCTGAACTGGTTTTCAATCACTCTATGACATTATTCAGATATATCATAGAAAGATCTGATTGATAAATATGAGAACCTCACTTCTATATAAGGTCAGCAGATCACTCTTTCTTGATAATAAGGCACTGCTGAGGTATCACTTCAGCTATTCTTGCTCATGAAATAAGAGAAGAGTATCTGCTCATTATCTATATAGAATAGCTAGATGCTGGCTTTTCATCAAAGAGGTCAGTGATTTGTTTTTCTTCTACTGAAATATATACAAGAGTTACTGCATGTCTTATACAATCTTCTTAGTATACTAAGTATCACATCTGTGATATTCTTGCAATAACTCTGTAGTCTATGAGCTCACTATTCAAGCAAGATAGTCAAGCCCACTCATACAGCTTTTCAAACAACTACCGCTATGTGACACCGCTGACTAGCCATCACTTCGGTTCTGTCATGTTACAATAGTGTTATAAGTAATCTCATTATAATCAACAAATATCTTTGAGTTCAAGAGCTGATGTTCTCAATTCATTCAGTGAGTATCTGTTACATTGAAAGATATATCTTACTCTTATTATAAGAGAGCATCTGTCATCAAGTTCTGACTATTATAACAGTAGTGTATTGTAAAATAAAAGTAGCTTAAAAACTTGAATCATTGCATCTATTGTTCAGTGAGTTTATAGATAGTTATAAAGTACTTAAGATTCTTATACTCTATGATTATCTTAAATTCAGAGATACTTCAGAGTTCAGAGTCTTCTTCTTCTAGATAGTGTATAATTATGAGAAGTTTCTTATTATAGATTTCATAGTTGCATTCAGCAGGGCTCAGTTTCTTAGATATAAAGACATATAATTATAAGACATCTTCATTATTATATTATAATATAGCTTCTTCTGTAACGTGACAGAACTGAAGCGGTGGCTAGTCAGCGGCGTCGCGTAGAGATAGTTGTTTGAAAAGCTGTATAAATGAGCTTGACTATCTTGCTTGAATAGTGAGCTTATAGACTACAGAGTTATTGCAAGAATATCACAGATATGATACTTAGTATACTAAGAAGATTGTATAAGAATCATAGTAACTCTTGTATATATTTCAGTAGAACAAAAATGAATCACTGACTTCTTTAATGAGAAGCCAGCATCTAGCTATTCTATATAGATAATAAGTGAATACTATTCTCTTATTTCATGAGCAAGAATAGCTGAAGTGATACCTCAGCAGTGCCTTATTATCAAGAAAGAGTGATCTGCTGACCTTATATAGAAGCAGAGTTCTTATATTCATTAATCAGATCTTTCTATAATATATCTGAATAATGTCATAGAGTGATTGAAAACTAGTTCAGATAGAATAAAATCATTCATATGAAAGTGATGAGCTGTGTGAAACTATAATAAGATCTTAACACAGCTGAGAGTGTGATAATACTCTTCTCTTTAAGAGTATAGTCTTAATGCTCTCAAGATTACTGAATTAGAAGTTATCTTTATTATATAGCAATAGTTACTAACTAATTAACAGTATATATACTGTATAAAGAAATAGATGAGTTTTTCTGCTGACTGTGTAGATCTTTCTTTTCTCATCTTCATTTAAATCAAATATATGATAAGTGAGTTCCTTATATATCAATTTAGAATGTGAAAAACATAGTTAATAAGTGACTTATAGATCTCTCATTATATTTCATTCTATATATGAACTTCTCTGTAAAAGTGATGTGTTTTAGAGATAATACTAACAGTAGTGACAGGATTTTTTAAAAAGATTTCTTCTCTTTGTGATTCGGGAGAACGTACGACCGCCGGATAATAACACGGCCGCTTCCGAACTTGCTTACAAATGTAAAGAGGCCATAGCAGCCACCAATTAATTTAGCATACAGTATATGAAAAGCCAGTGTATGCCTGTAATCATACACTGACTCAAGCAACCTTTGAATTACATCTGATAGCATGTCTGAAAATCAGTGAGAAGTGCAGACTTCTTCAGAATATGATAATTCTGTCTATAAAGCAATTTGTAGTTATCATGTCAGTGTGGTTCTAGAATGTCTTAAAAAATAGTGTATAAAGAGCAGTGAGTAAAAGAGTATCTAATTAATACTGCTTCACTTGTTAAGGAAAGACTTCATACTAAGATGAATATCACATATGATACATGAACAGATGAGATGTAAGAAAGAGAATGAGAGCAGTGAATCAGATTCAAAGAAGTTCACTCTCTACTTAAAAGAAGAATAAAAAGAGAGAAGTGACTATCACTGAAGTTGTATAATAATAACAGAAATTATATAATAATATAGTGATATAATAATACAGTTATATAATGATATAAGTAATATAATGATAGACATTGTATAATCAATGAGAAATCACTGAAATAAATATCTCTTCTAATTGATATGAATAACACTCTTGTCTGCTATCTGAACTGAAAGATATGCAGAATCTCTCAGAGAGTTTACTTAAAATAGTAAGAAAAGTAACTGAGACTGCTGAACTGAAATCAAAGCTCTGTATATATATAAGAATTCTAAATGAAATCAAGGCCTTGTATATACAGTAGCAGACTGAGATAAAAGTTAAACAATAATTGACATTCACTGCAGATTAAGCATGCACTATGAAGAGCTTCACTGACACAATCATCATCATTAATAAGAATAGAGAAAATCAGATCTTAGATTTTTAGTAAGAGATTGAATGTTTACAGATAATTACACTGAATCTGAAAATCTTACTATAATTATTCACAATCTCTTCAGAAGTGTACACATTATCAGAGACTGCTGCACAGAATGAGAATCTGAATATAGAATACATCAAGCTAAGAGATCTGTCAGAGCTATTAAGCTTTAATAATGACTGAAAAAATGATGCTGCAATCAGGTAGCTAAGTCAGATGTGATTATATTATCAGATTGAATATGAACTTACAGACAGATAGTTAACAGAATTTTAATAAGTTTTAAGATCTACTGTATTTCTATGCAGAAAAGCAAAGTTATTTTAAATAACTACTGAAAAGATGAATCTTACAGACTCAGAATAATATTCATTTTCATGAATATGAAATGAGTTTTTCAAATAAATCTTGCACAACTTTGAGAAAGTGAATGTGTGAGATAAGTATTATAAATACTTCACTGAGTATAGATAAGTGAGTGATCTTATATCATACTTCTCACACTTCAGCTTACACTATCTTGTATTGAATGAAGAGCTTTTAACATTCTTCTGTTTACACATCTTCATTCATAATCTTATATCTGAGTTAAGAGCAGAATGAAAATGCTTAACCTTACAATCAGACACAGTGAAAGAAGTATACAATATTCTTATTATATAGAAACAGATAAGCTAATTACAATAGAAAATACTGCAATTAAGTATATCTCAGTGAAGAATGAGTAATCAAACTTCTATAATACAAGTCACACACTCAGATACAATGAATCTAGATCTGAATATTATTACTAAAGTGCTAAATCTTCTGAAAAAGAGATTCTCTGAGTGAAAATCTTGATATTATAAGCATCAAGCTTGTGTTAACTGCAGACATCAGAATCATGATGCAAAGAATTACACACAGTGTATATAGTCAAGAGAAGCAAGAGAGTCAAAAAACTAGCAGAATCAGTGAGCTCAGAGACACTTGCTGATATTCTATAAAAAGTCTTCAAAGTGAAAGAGATACTCATATTAGATGACTCTCTGAATTCTGTGAATATTAAGAGAAAGCAGACTTCTGAATGAGATGCAGATGAGAATGATGAAGTGAACACTCATCTCAATGTCTTGAGACTCAAAATGTTAATATATAAAGAACACTTGAATAAGAATTAAAAGATGACTGTAAAAGTGTTAACAGATATAGAAGCTTCTACATAATATATTGATAATTATATAATTTGTAGACTGAAAGAGGTCTGCTGAGTGAAGAAGTCTCCACATATAAGATTATCTGATAACTGATATTTGATATTATCTGCAAGAATAAGAGTTCTCTTGTACTTTGAAGAATGATCTTGATATATTTAACTGTAAGAGCTGCAGAACATGAAATACAACCTTATTCTTGAACTTAATTAATTTCAAAGATTCAATTCACAGATTCAATAATGTATATATCATATGCAGTTAACTGATAGAAAGAAAACAGTTTATATGATTCTATCAACTGATATGAGAAGAACATTTCATATTTCTGATATAGAAGAGTTAAATCTGCTTACACATCAATAAGCAAAGAGAATGATTTATAAGACCTTATCTGAAAGCATTCTGTATGTCATACAGAACTCAGAAGTGAAGGAAATCAAGATAAAGAATATGCAGAAGAATAAGTGTATAAAGAAGCTTCTGAAGAAGTATGAAAAGATCTTTCAAACAGATCTTTCATCAGAATTGTCACTGAAACAAGAATTTGTACATGAGAT